CTATCTATCCTATCTATCCTATCTATCCGGTCTACCCAATCTATACAATCTATCCAATCTATCCAGTCTATGAGTCTATCCCAATCTATCTAACCTATCTAATCTATCTAATCTATCTATCTACCCTAACCAGACCTTACCTTTTCTTATCTTCTAAGAACTATCTTTCCATACAATATATATTTCAAAAGATACTGCATAATAATTATAATAGATAATATACATGTAACATATTAGGACATATATCTCTCCCCAAGCATTTTTCCCAGCATTCGTTTCTCCGAAGCGACTGTTTTCGTGGCCCTGGCAAATGCAGCGCAACTTCTCCAGCTCCGGCGCCGTCGACACCGCGAAGGCGCGACCACTGCTGCAGCAGTCCACGACGCGCACGTCGCAAATGGCGCCGGCCGAGGTGCGCGTGGTGGCAGCGAAGGCACCTGTACGGGGGAACGATGGCCAGGGTGGACTCAGAAAATGATGATTCCACCGAAAAAAAAAGATGATTGATTTCACTGGCAAAAATGGGCAACCTGGCAACCCCCAAACACCGCATTTTGGTGGAATCTTCAGATGCAGAAATCAGAAACCTCCTCGACTACCATCCGCTACCTTTGCTGTTGGCACCTCCCAACAATTTCGCGCATTTCAGAACGCCATCGTTGAAATAGAGGACACTTTCCTCCAAGGTGCATGCAGTGAATTGCTCAAGGTTTAGGATTCCCAAAGCGGAGCTTTGATTCAAATCATGGCCCATAAATCTGGACTGTAAAAAAATAACTTGCAAAGTGGTGGATTACCCATCTTCAGCTCAGTTCTTCAACAAACAGCCCCAATGCGAACCTCCAAGATAACAGTGGGCATTCCGTCAATATGTCTCAATCTCTTTGTGGATGGCACAACTGAAGGTGGCACAACTCCACCACCATTGAAGTTCCATCTCTTCATTCCAGGTCCCCGCGTGCCGCGCGTGCCGTCCTGCGCTTCGGCTTGCCAGGAAGCATCGTATTCTTCTGAAGTCATCTCCTGCAGAAAGGGTATTCAATGGGGTATAGATCTTAAAAACCATCAAGCATCTTCTGCTGGGGGGTTCATCTTTGGTGGGGTTGGTTCATCATCATTTGCCCAAGTTTCCACCTTTTTTTTGGCATTGCACCTGAGTAAGACCAGACAGCTGGGACATGATTCGATGTTTGAGGAAATATTAGTATGTATAATATGTGATACTATAAAATCATATAATGCAATTATATAAATATATATAAAGATGCAAATGGATTACATAGTAATGTATATCATACATATTTCAAAGTGTTATATGTACACATATGATGCTATCATCATGATATCATACATTTTATACCTTACTGCAATCAACACGACACTTAAACATGTCAACACATGCTGCAACTCCTTCTGATGCTTGGCGTGGATCAAGGGCATATCTGCAGCGCCCATCGTCACAAAGAGCTGTGGGAGCATGGTCGCATTGAGGTTCAAGGACACGGTCTGAAAGCCCACACCCAGCTTTCCTTGGCTTCTACAGTGATGGGCTATAATAACTAAAGGTGGAATTATAACTCCTATAGCTGAGGTTGTATATCATTATAGACCCATTTATAAATTAAGGGTCATAACTTGTAAACTGATTTAATTCCTGTTCGATAAGTTACGAGAATGGTTTCAGCAATCATCTTAAGCAGATCATGCTGTGTAGACATTCGTTTCGTTTTCCCAGGGAGAAAAACAACAATCCATATCAATCGGTTTCCATCGGTTTCCATCGGTTTCCATTGGCCTCCAGACATGTTTACCCTAAATGAATTTAAAACAGTAATATCTGGAGTTTCCTCAATTATGGGTACCCCGAACTATTGGTCTTCCCATTGATGAACTGATGAGAAACACTTTTGGATGATTCTGGGCTAGCCCATGGTAGCCTCATTTTCAGAACCAATAGAAATTGCGCAATCATAGAAATTCCGCTATGCTCTGGTAAACCAACATAACTATGGAAAATCACAATTTTCAATAGGTAAATCCACTATGGCATTTTCCATAGCTATGCTAGTTTACCAGAGGGTAATCTGTTCATCATGTTTCGAAAAAAATCGGTTTTCTCCATTGAAACGAGCCACTTGTGAAGATGGCTTCCTGCTCTTCATCCATGCCACTGAAGGGCACCAAGCGCCGCAGGGCTCGGTTCTTCCAACGGTTCACCCGCACCTGGGACGCCAGGAAGGCGGGGAAACAACAAGAATGGAAGCATAGGGATATACATTGGATAAACATGTATAAATATACTGGTTGGTGGTTTGAACCCCTCTGAAAAATATTAGTCAGTTGATGATGGTTCCCAATAATTATATAGAAACATAAAAATGTTCCAAACCACCATCCAGTTTATAAAAAGTAAAAATTACTTTACTTCGTGTGATCCCCACCATGACATTTATACATTTTCTTACTGGCAAATCTTCTGGCATTCTATCTGACATATCTTCTGACATTCTATTTGGCATTCTATCTAGCATATCTTCTGGCATTCTATCTTCTGGCATTCTATCTGGCAAATCTTCTGGCATTCTATCTGGCATATCTTCTGGCATTCTATCTGACATATCTTCTGGCATTCAATCTGGCATTCTATCTGGCATATCTTCTGGCATATATTCTGACATATCTTCTGGCATTCTATCTGACATTTCTTCTGGCATATATTCTGACATATCTTCTGGCATATCTTCTGGCATATCTTCTGGCATATCTTCTGGCATATCTATCTGGCATATCTTCTGGCATATTTTCTGGCATTCTATCTGGCAAATCTTCTGGCATTCTATCTGGCATTCTATCTGGCATATCTTCTTGCATATTATCTGGCATTCTATCTGGCATATCTTCTGGCATATATTCTGACATATCTTCTGGCATTCTATCTGGCATTCTATTTGGCATTCTATCTGGCATATCTTCTGGCATATCTTCTGACATTCTTTCTGACATTCTTTCTAACTTCCTTCTGCACATTCTTTGTCCCATATCTTCCTACATGAGGTCCGGCAGGGAACACTTGGCGTGGATACTCGCGGTTGAGGTTCGGCAGGGAACACTGGGCGTGGATGGTCGTGGTTGAGGTCCGGCAGGGAACATTGGGCGGGGATGGTCGTGGTTGAGGTCCGGCAGGGAACACTGGGCGTGGATGGTCGTGGTTGAGGTCCAGCAGGGAACACTGGGCGTGGATGGTCGTGGTTGAGGCCCGGCAGGGAACACTGAGCATGGATGGTCGTGGTTGAGGTCCGACAGAGAACACTGTGGATCGCGGGTCGCAGTTGGACGAGGAGGACGAGGAGGACGAGGAGGAGGACGACGAGGAGGAGGAGGAGGAGAGGAGGAGGAGATGAGGAGGAGATGAGGAGGAGAGGAGAGGGGCAGGCAACTGACATAAAATCTAACAACCCTCACCTGGCAGGTGGGGAAAAAACATATTCCTCTCATGTTTTTTTGTTTTATAAAGTGTAAGATAGTGTATGAGCATCTAGATGTATGCCAAATACTTGGGTCCGAATTTAATCTCTGTGATATCATGTACTGTATCACAAACCTCCCCCTGCACTTGGATTCTGCATCCCTATTAGTAAGTCGTTCATGACCCGTGAGAAATTTGTCGCTGAATGATATGAATACTGTGGATGGAACAAATCCTTCATCTGTCGGTAACTATTGGAAACTATGAAACACTTGAATATATAATTTGGTTATAATGGGATAAAACACCTACCAACTGGTGCAGGAGTTCGCAAGCATCAATACGCAAAGCCAGCTGCAGAATGTTCAAAGTCTCAGCCCCTGTCTAGTACATGGCCTCATCCCCTGGATTTTAGAAGAACCCACCCAAAAGCTATGGGATAGAAAAAACAGTGTTCTCAACATGTTGGAAACTGATTGAGAAAATGGAAGGATAGAACATACAAGAAATTATATATGTATTATATTAGATTTACTTACTGACAGCACCAGCAACATAGGACCGCGAGTTTCCTCACGGGCCACCCGAGTTTCTACTTTTTGTCGCTCAATTTCCTCCGAAATCCAGGGCTGTGTCACAGGTCCCTTACCCATCAACCGTTTACTGCTTGGTAGTTTATGATAGTTTATGTACCCGCTGGTAATCGTACATGGCAATGGAACATATTCCTTCTGCAAACAATTTTCCTATGGTGGATTTTCCAGCCATGTTTGAGGACACCGGAGGGTAGCCCATCTTTCAGTGCCACGTCAAAAATCATTTATATAGTTCACCCACCGGCCCACCACCTACAGGATTCTGCAAAGGGGCCATGAATCGGATGGCACGCCGCAGCCCTGCATAGGTGCGTTCGCGCTTGCCCTGCAACATGACGCGGCGCAGGTAGGAGACGAGTTCGATGGCGTGGGCGAAAGCGCGAAGCTTTTTCTTGGCAAACCTGATGCTGCTCGTCCCCCAGATTATTGGCTAAGTTTGTGATATTTCACCATCCACAAATGGTGGCTTTGAAGAAACATAGGAGGATTTAGCACTAGATATCCTGCAGAATCCTGCAGAAACAAATGTTGATTGGCATGAGATGAATATCGCGCCATAAACATGTCCAAAAAGCACGAACTTGCCAACCCAACATTTACCCAGTGAAGTTGCTAGCTGGTTCGGCTGGTTCCGAAATGGCGCATATCTGCCCAACAGATTCACATCTCTATTGGCTAACATCCAATTTTGCACCTTCCACCAAGGTTCTCCCAGTTGAAATTCCACAATTTACCCTCTGGTAATTTAACATATATGGCTCCAGAAAGTCAGAATACTTAAATAGGTGATTCAACTATAAAAGGAAAATGTTCATCCACTATCCGTAGCTATGTAACAAATTACAGCAAATTACCAAAGGGTAATCCTCAAATCCTGTTTCGGTTGGAAAATTTCTATTCGCCCCTCACCGAGGTTGTCCCATTTGGCCAATCTCTGACGCCATGCTTAAAATAAATCTGCTAGCTCGTGAATACATAAATATCCAAATGCATATAACACATCATAATATTGAAACGTATTCAAATATCCACCACCAGTTTCTTTACCTACATGTTTGATGTTTAATCCATCTTAATCCATATATTTTCTTGGTGAAGCAACCAACAATCTTCAATCGCCGAGTTGTCGGGAAACTGTTGGCGGATCTTCTTGATGACGTGCTGGGAGGCCTGTCCACTGGAGTCTCTCAGCTCCTCAAGGGCTCGAAGCTGCCCGGCTTTCAGGAACAAACGGCTGGTGCCCAGGGTCCACTGGCTGTCGTCAATCTCCCAGGCTAGCATCACCTGGGATTCTCATGGATTCTCCACATTGGAAAGGGCAAATATGGCTGGGAAAACCTGCATTTTGTGTAGGAAACCACATATAGAAAGGAAGGATTTTCCATTGCTGATATCAACTGAGGAGCCAAAACACCAATGCTTTAGTGTGCATACATTAGCATATATCAATATATATATATATATCAGCTATACATGGCGGAGTTTGTTTCCATCACCCTTAGAACGATGGAGTTATCGACCAATGGTTAGTTGTGATGGGTTTTTCGTTCCCGAACGAGAAAACCATGACCTTTCTTATCTGTCTTTAGTTCCTCATTGAAAATGTGCAGTAAGGCAAGGTATCCTTTGGAGGCCGGGTGGTTTTGGATTCTGGAGGGCAGTCTGTCCATCCTCTGCCTGTTCCAAAGTGACTCTTTCCACACCTCTTCCCACACACCCTATATGTACTTTATTCCCGAAAGTATTGGGACACAACTCCCAGCCCCTTTGGCAAAGTTGCGGCGTGCATGAAGTCACGGTCTGAGTAGTGCGCAAACTCGGGGGGCAAGAGCTTCTGGAAGCGTGCGCGCAAATCCCTCAAGATGCATCCTGCAAAGAGAAGCGCTCAACAAAGATTACACCTTGTTACAGTGATGGCCAGACTAACAGTTATAACTAAATGGAAGTATAAGTCCTATAACTGAGGTTATAACTTTATAACCATAATAACTGATTATATAGTCCTAATTATAAGTCCTATTAAATGAAATTATAAGTCATTATATATAGACCCCCAAAAATAACTGTTAGTTGGGCCATAACTGGACGATCGGTTGATCGGTTGTCACATGTTGTCACCGTCAGCCGCGGACCAAGACTTCACCATGGATTTGCCAATTCAATGAATCCCAACTTCACTTCACATGGATCATCTCGATTGTATATATATATATGTTTATAGTGGTATATACACGCATGTATATGAAAATACACATGTGCATATAAACATATATGTAAATATGAATAATATACGTATATTAATGATTAACACATATTAAATCATATTAACACATATCCATTAGACTATAGTCTATAGCCTTTCCAAGATGTTGTTTCCGAGCTGCGATGCGGATAGCCGTGATGCATAATGTTCACCAGCTCCACAGTTCCTGAGTCAAACAACCAGAAAAATGGGATGATAACATATTTTTTGATGTTAACATATGGCATATAACATTATATAACCACCAAATGGGATTGTAACCACCCAAAAAAAGACACAATATAAATATGGTACATATGATATACATATGTCACAATAGATGGAAGAAATCCCCAATTGGTAGATGAGTTATCCCATTAGAATCCCAAAACATTCACAGTTTTTCTTGGTGAAGGACCCCTTTCCATCCACAGTAGCGGAAACTAAATGGTAAAGTCCAGTAAACTATATGGCAAACTACATGGGAAACTTAAATGGTAAACTGTATGGCAAACTACATGGTAAACAAAATTGTAAACTGCGGCAAACTATATGCTAAATTCAACTAGATGGTAACCTATGTGGGAACCTCTATAATTAGCTGAATAAGCTGAAAAATCAATGATCCCGAATATCACCAGAAATGGGCAGTACACAGTGCACACCCTCCAAAGTTGGAGTTTAGCTGGTAGGTTTATCACTTTACTATCTGACTCAAAGTTGAACTTGGTAAAGGGTATTCTATCAAGATCTGCATGGAGTCTATGAGTGGCTTAAAAAAATAAAACTTTCAAGGGCAGGACTTATTTCCCTTGTTGCACCGTGGACATTTACGTCTTCAACTTTTCTTTTTTTCTAGACAGCCCCAAACCGAATGTTTCACATGTACATACTGTACACAATATACAATGACACACAATGCTTGCAAACCTTTTGGCTTTTACAACTTATACATGTTCAGCACGCATATTTTGAAATAAACATAGATTCACCTATAGGAGTCGGTTCATGGTAAGAGTAGCTTGATGGCTCGAAACAACTATCATGTTTTTATCCCATCCTGGAAGCATCTGGATTGCCAGGGTGTTTCACCCAAGTCTTAGCCGTGTTTCCTTCTTGGATGTAAATCCCAGCTAGTAAGCGGGTTGTAACCCATAAATATGTATATATATATAACTGGGGATGTCCCATATATACACAGCTGGGACATAATATGGTATAATGCGATTTTATGTCCACTTATAAACTGAACTACATTACAAGTTGGAAACCAAGGTGCCACACTGAATGACTTGATCCAATACGTACTTTGGCTTGAAGAGACCAGCTTTGCGTTCCTGGACACGGAAGTTACCGTTGAAACAAAATGGTCCCGTCCCAATCATACAGTTTTAGCTCTCAACAGTTGTAGCTGGCTTAGGATGATACATAACCTGAGCTACAGGAGTTTCAACCCGATTTATAACTGTGAAGGGCCATAACTGTAGATAGTTAGAAAGGTGGTTGCTGGTGATTCATCAACGGTTTAAGAAGAAGGGCACATCAAAACAAACGGAACCAAAGAAAACATCTCGAAATACCTCGAAATAATTGCACATCCTTAACACGCCTTTAATATTGGGAGGTTCACATTTGTGGGAGGTTGGTTGAATCCCCATCTTCGACTGGAAGAGGTTCGGGTGACATGTTGAACTACCAAGGGGTGAGATTTCCAGGTGGTTTTGCCTGTCAGGAAATTGAATAGACCAATTGTTTTGGATGAAACCAAACACAGCAAGTGGATATATATATATTGTATATCTACCGACATGTAACCAGCATGTATGCATAAATATATGCATATTATTAAATCATCATACTGTATGATGCTATAATGTATACATACAATGAATGTATAAACCGTCAACACACACACACACTAAATATATATACACCTCAGGAATAGCATGCAGTTCCATGTTGGATTTCGGGGGTGTACATATAAATAAATAAATAAACAAATAAATAATAAATAAATAAATAAACAAATATATATATATATATGTATGCATGGATGGAAATGCCACCATTTCCACTCCGAAAGCCATCCTTTGGCTTTGGCCTGGTTGGGGTTGAAGCAGCGGATGTAGTGGACAGAGCACTTCTTCCTGGGTCTGTCCACTGTTTCGAGCTGCAGGTCATGTCAGCCCAAATTATATTAAAAAAAAAACACTGGTTGATGATGGTTGATGATGGTTGATGATGGTTGATGATGGCTGATGATGGTTGATGATGGTTGATGATGGCTGATGATGGTTGATGATGGTTGATGATGGTTGATGATGGTTGATGATGGTGGAGGGTACCCCTCCAAATAGTGAGTTCATCTGCTAAAGTGGTACCTCCACAATTAATATCAATTAATCCGTTTTTGAGGTGTCAAAGGTTGAGCCACTCTGCCCACTACAACTAGGCTACAACAGAAGGATGTCATCAACAATAAGAGGCAAACACATGCACAACACCAATCAAAACTAGCAAGAACTTCCAAAATAGTTGTTGGTGGCAAATAAGTCCTTAAGATGCCATTGTTTTTGTTATCACATCCGCACGCGTACTCCAAGGATTGTATTTATCAGTGGCGAGGAGGAACATCGGCAAGGACTGAAGCATCTGCAAGCGTCAGGGTGTCCAACAAGTTGGTCAAATTGCTCAAATACTTGCCTCGTCGGTTCAAAGGCACAGCACGATTTCTTACAACCCTTCAGTGCCGGTCAGTGCGGGAAAAATACCAAAGATTGTGAGAGTTGGGGTGGTGTTCCCATGTTTCTATTCATTTTTAGCCAACAAAGAGTTGATTGGTTGCCGTTGGTCACTCAGCCTGCAACTCTCCCATAGGAGGCGTTTCCAGGACTTCCATCCGCCAACATCTGGAACCATGCTACGTACGCTTTACACAACAAACATGCAAAACTCATAAATGACAACTATAGTTGACAATAAACAGCATCATCATCATCATCACCATCATCATCACCATCATCATCATCATCAAAGGAAGAAAATTATAATTCTTCGTCATAAATAAGATAACCGTTATTTTATTTTTACATAGTCATCATAGTTGTTCACTAAATAACGCAACTCAAACATTCAACAAACTCGCCCCAGTTGCTACTCACGGAGCACAAGCGCTCGCCGCCGTTGCCGGATTGACATCGGCTCCGGTCGGCCATGTCTGCGATCAGCGACCGGTCGGCGTCCGCCAAAATGGTTTCGATTTCTGGCACTAGCCTAGGAGTGAAATCGTGGAACCATGGGGGATGGGAACGTTGTGAGGCCTATGAAGTAGCTAAGTTGACTTACTTGGCTAACTAGGGTTCATGGAGGATACAACTCTTGTACATACTATAACTATATTTTGTCTGCGCCCTGCATGCGGACAAATCTGCGACGCCACATAACTATGTAAATAGTTTTGTGGGTTTGTAAACCAGTATACAGTAAACCATGAGAATAACTGGAGAGAGTACATATGTAGGTAGGGTACAATTAAAATACATGCCTGCGATCCAGTTACTTAGTAGGATGCACCCCCAAGTATGGAGGTTTAAGCAACAAACAATTGAATGATGAGGAATGATGAGGAAATTGGGATATGATCGGGAATGACCAGCTATTTTATGTGGATATAATTGATGTGTGTATATACATTCCTCCATACCCAACAATATGATTTGGATTGATGTATTTGAAACTGGTGACTACAATTGTCATTTAGGAACGCTTATATATACATATATATATATATATATGTGTGTAAATATATATATATATGTATAAATAACCAAATTTTGGGCACCCTATGTTCAGACAACGCCACGATTCGCCCCACTGTTCTTTAGAGAAACTGGGCTCCTAGGCCCTTGTAGACGATCACCCTCCAGCAAACAAACACAGCAATGGAACACTTTCTCGGAAAATATCATTATCACGCGTCATGCAACATTGCTGAATTGCTGGAGGTTGTATCATCCGCCAGTATAGAGAGAGAGAGATGCAGATGCACATGCCAACTCAAGCAACAAGCAAAGTTATTCAGCAGACTTGCTGACCATGTGGAAACAAATATCAGATTGAACATGCTTTCCACTCAGTCAAGCTTGTTTAGAGGCGATATTGCTGGTTGGATTCAATGTATGGTCTACCCTCTGGTTAGTTGTTACATAGCCATGGAAAACCACCATTCTTAATGTGTCTGTAAATCATCATTATTATCATCTACAAATGGGTGATTTTTCACAGCTAGCAACCTGACCCTATGGCAAGGCAAGCGACGAGTCGTTGTTCTTGTCGATCCAACCCTTGGTGGTGTAGGACACAGCACCTGGAACCATTCCAAGTTATCTCTGGGTCACCGATCTGGGGGAGGCTGGCTGACATACCACCCGTATCTCCGCATTAAACCTCCATCCACTGTTTGGTGGAATCTGCCATTTTTTGTTCAATGCACGCCTGCATAGTTGGCTGAAAATCCACCAAAACCTGTAGCATCTGCACGCATATCATATCACAGACGGTCATATCAACATACCCATGTTGTGCCATGTGTTCCTTGTTTGTTTTTCATCCACACCTGCATAGTGCGCGATCTGAAAGCCATCGTGCAAGCTGGGCCCGCGATCTGTGCGACTCGCCTTCAGCTTCAGCGCAAGGATTGTGCCGCGATGACTGGGTTGCCCCTTGACATCGATCAGCTCACGATAGACCTGGGGACATAGGACCGAGCAACGAGGCCTTGGAACGTAGCAGGTTCTTCGATGAAAATGGGTATTCAATCCTGAAATCATTACATTGTATGGGAAATTATGGGGTCTAAGAATTAAGAATGGGGTCAATGGAATGATTTTCGTTTGAGAATCATACAGTACCCACGATGCTGGGTCTGCGCCAATTTGCAGACATAGACTATAATAAACACACACAAAGACATATAGTCACATATATATATATATGTATGTATGTATGTATGTAGGTGTGCAGGTAAATAGACACATAGGTATGAACATGTAAATGGAGAAACCAAAACACAATACAAAACGGTATGACATCGGTAAAAAACATCGCTCACTATATCTAGTTGGAATTGATGCAAATATATAGGAACCTAGAACTATAAAGTCAACGTCTAACACCATGTTACATCCAAATCCAACATTTATCCAAACCTACCATCATTCAACGTCTGTCTATCTCGGATTGGTTATGACAAAGATAAATTATACCGATTATATTTAAAATATCTTATTTTTACCAAGTTTCATCAACTATACCCTCTGGTAAACAATCATGGCAACTGAACATCCTCCATTTACTTCGATGATTGTCCCATGAAAGCCTCCATTTGAAGGGGATTTTCCATTGCCACGATTGATTACCAAAGGGTAAACCCCTATGTTTGGGCCTTAGAAGTTTATTATTGGTATACCCCTAAAAAGGGATGATTAAAATGGTTCTGGCATTTGGTTTGCCATATCCCAAATCATCCCAAAAACAATCCCATAATCATCCGACACTCATAATCCAACAATAATAATCCCACACAATCCAAAAGTTCCAAGAATGATACCGGATATTACAATGTAATCATCCCAGAAAAAATGCCAATATGCATGATACTGACTATCTCCCATTGTTGCTTGGGATTATTGTCGAATCAAATCGTAATATGTATATACCGACGGACTGGAAGTTAGAATGTCGTGTTTTCCACCAAAATTTTTCCTTTGAAAGTTAGAATGACGTACCCAAATGGACGTAGAAATTCTACTAAAATTCTACCTTTCAGTCCGTATTATGCTGGTAAATGTGGATAAAAATGTTCAAAAGTTGTTTGATCAAACTTGCCTACCTGTTGTGCCGGGGTCACCAAACCTTTATCGTTTTGTAGGGTTAGAATGCCTGCGCAGCATATGCCTCCAAAACCTCTGAATTTTATATAGATTTGAAATATATGTATATATTATATATATATATAATCCCTTCCTCCTATTACTAAACGTCCCCCAAATACTAAAAACATCTAGCATCCATCTCCAATTTCAGAAAAATTCAGATTGGCCAATTTGATTTTTAATTGGTCCCCTTTAGAAAACAATTTCAAAATAAAGCTACCATTTGTGGATTTTGCCCCCTAATACAAAAACTAGTTCACCCCGGGGTGTTTATTATTAGGGTCCGTCCGATTTTTTTTAGTTTTTATTATTAAGGGTTTTAATTTAATATTAGGGGGAACCTTCGAAATCCAATTTTTGGCAATATTTTAATTGCGTTATATAAGGAAATTTAATTGATTTTGAAACCGGAAAAAATAGTTTTTATTATTCAGGGTTTTACTTGAATATTAGGGGGAAGCTTCGAAATCCAATTTTTGGCAATATTTTAATTGCGTTATATAAAGAAATTTGATTGATTTTGGAATCGGAAAAAATAGTTTTTATTATTAAGGTTTTAATTTTATTAATAGGGTTCCCTAATAATAAATACCACCCTAATACTAAAAACTACCTGACGTGTTTATTATTAAGGGGCGGGGGTTTAGTATTAGGAGGAAGGGATTATCTATTTATTTGTTTATTTATTTATTTATATCCTACATCAACCAAATCCCTGAAAAAAGCGGGTCGAGGTATCAAAACCTGGTTTTGAGCTAGTTTCTGAGAAAAAAACAGGTTTTACCAGATTTTTGATGAAGCAGCTTCGCCACAACCCGTCGAAAAACCGCCGAAAACCTGTAAAAACTCATCAACACCAATTAAAAAAAAACAGTAGTCCAAAACCGACCAAAAGCTTGGTTTGCCGGGGCCACCAAACTTTTTTTTGTAGGGTTAGAATGCCTGCGCAGCATATGCCCCCAAAACTTCTGAATTCTATATAGATTTTTAAATAGATAAATGAAATCTAGATGTGAGTAAACGACGTGTTCTTGGATCGGTGGATGACGCTATTGCATTTTTTGCTGCATATTCTGTCATGTTTTATTGTTTTTTTTGCTGATCATGAGCATGTTTTTGGCAAATCACCGTATATTCTGCATATTTATATTTATATACAATACGATGTTGTTTTTTTCTGCATATCATGACATTGTTTATTGTTCATGGAAAGATTTGTTTGCAATTTACATGCATATTCTGCATATTTGCAGTACATGGAAGACACGGGACGGTCGAAAATGCGTCAAACATTTTGGAGTTTTAGGGGTTTCAGGACTAAATAAGTAGGGTTAGAATGCCCATCGGGGATTTTCCCACGGTATTCCCCACGATAATGACATGTAGGTTAAACAGGATGGTAACCTCCAAAAACGGCAATATACACAGACGATATTGCATTTTTTTATATTCTGTCATTTTTTTTTGATCACGGTTTTTCTTTTGCTGATCATGAGCATGTTTTTTGGCAAATACCTGTATATTCTGCATATTTAAATTAACAATACGATGTTGCATTTTTTCCTCCATATCATGACATTGTTTATTGTTCATGGAAAGATTTGTTTGCAATTTACATGCATATTCTGCATGTTTGCAGTACATGGAAGACACGGGACGGTCGAAAATGCGTCAATAATTTTGGAGTTTTAGGGGTTTCAGGACTAAATAAATAGGGTTAGAATGCCCGTCGGGGATTTTCCCACGGTATTTCCCACGATAATGAAATGTTGATTTTACAGGATGGTAACCTCAGAAAACGGCATTATACATACATATAGATATATATATATATGCGCAGTAAAAAATATATGTACATTTACGTACATATTAGATGTGAGTAAACGAAGTGTTCTTGGAACGGCGGATGACGATATCGCATTTTTCTGCATATTCTGTCATTGTTTTTGAGCATGTACTTTTTTGCTGATCATGAGCATGTTTTTTGCGAATACCTGTATATTCTGCATATTTAAACTTAACAATACGATGTTGCATTTTTTCCTCCATATCATGATATTGTTTATTGTTCATGGAAAGATTTGTTTGCAATTTACATCCGTATTCTGCATGTTTGCAGTACATGGAAGACACGGGACGGTCGAAAATGCGTCAAGAATTTTGGAGTTTTAGGGGTTTCAGGACTCAATAAGTAGGGTTAGAATGCCCATCGGGGATTTTCCCACGGTATTCCCCACGATAATGACATGTAGGTTAAACAGGATGGTAACCTCCAAAAACGGCAATATACACAGACGATATTGCATTTTTCTTATATTCTGTCAGTTTTTATTGATCATGTTTGTTTTGCTGATCGTGAGCATTTTTTTTGGCGAATACCTGCATATTCTGCATATTTATTTACAATACGATATTGCATTTTTCTGCATATTATGACATGGTTTATTGTTCATGGAAAGATTTGTTTGCAATTTACATGCATATTCTGCATATTTGCAGTACATGGAAGACACGGGACGGTCGAAAATGCGTCAATAATTTTGTAGTTTTAGGATGTTTTAGGGGTTTCAGGACTAAATTAATAGGGTTAGAATGCCCGTCGGGGATTTTCCCACGGTATTCCCCACGATAGTGACATGTTGATTAAACAGGATGGTAACCTCCAAAAACGGCAATATACACAGAATACACAGACGATATTGCATTTTTTTATATTCTGTCATTTTTTTTTGATCACGGTTTTTCTTTTGCTGATCATGAGCATGTTTTTTTTTGCAAATACCTGTATATTCTGCATATTTAACTTAACAATGCGATGTTGCATTTTTCTGCATATCATGGACATTGTTTATTGTTCATGGAAAGATTTGTTTGCAATTTACATGCATATTCTGCATATTTGCAGTACATGGAAGACACGGGACGGTCGAAAATTCGTCAAACATTTTGGAGTTTTAGGGGTTTCAGGACTAAATAAGTAGGGTTAGAATGCCCATCGGGGATTTTCCCACGGTATTCCCCACGATAATGACATGTAGGTTAAACAGGATGGTAACCTCCAAAAACGGCAATATACACAGACGATATTGCATTTTTTTATATTCTGTCATTTTTTTTTGATCACGGTTTTTCTTTTGCTGATCATGAGCATGTTTTTTTTTTGCAAATACCTGTATATTCTGCATATTTAACTTAACAATACGATGTTGCATTTTTTCTGCATATCATGACATTGTTTATTGTTCATGGAAAGATTTGTTTGCAATTTACATGCATATTCTGCATATTTGCAGTACATGGAAGACACGGGACGGTCGAAAATGCGTCAAGAATTTTGGAGTTTTAGGATGTTTTAGGGGTTTCAGGACTAAATTAATAGGGTTAGAATGCCCGTCGGGGATTTTCCCACGGTATTCCCCACGATAATGACATGTAGGTTAAACAGGATGGTAACCTCCAAAAATTGCATTATACACAAACGATATTGCATTTGTTCTAATACTCTGTTAGTTTTTATTGATCATATTTGTTTTGCTGATCATGAGCATGTTTTTTGGGTGAATACCTGCATATTCCGCATATGTATATTTACAATACGATGTTGCATTTTTTCTGCATATCATGACATTGTTTATTGTTCATGGAAAGATCTGTTTGCAATTTACATGCATATGCTGCAAATTTGCAGTACCATATACAGTACATGGAAGACACGGGACGGTCGAAAATGCGTCAAGAATTTTGTAGTTTTAGGATGTTTTAGCTGTTTCAGGACTAAATTAATAGGGTTAGAATGCCCGTCGGGGATTTTCCCATGATATCCCCCACGATAATGAAACGTTGATAAACAGGATGGTAACCTCCGAAAACGGCATTATACACACACACACATATATATATATATATATATATGCGCTGTATATATTACATATGTGTACATGTATTGTACACACGTATTAGATGTGAGTAAACGAGGTGTTCTTGGGTCGGCGGATGACGATATTGCATTTTTTCTGCATATTCTGTCAATTTTAGTGGTCATTTACTTTTTTGCTGATCATGAGCATGTTGTATGGACGAATACCTGCATATTCTACTTACTACTTTACAACACGATATTGCATTTTTTCTGCGTAGTATGACATTGTTTATTGTTCATGTTTTTTTTTGCAATTTACATGCAGTACCATTCACATGGAAGACACGGGACAGTCGAAAATGCGTCAAACATTTTGGAGTTTTAGGGGTTTCAGGACTAAATACACAGGGTTAGAATTGGAATGCCATCCCGGTTTTTTTAAGGTGTTTCAGGACTAAATAAATAGGGTTAGAATGCGCGTCGGGGATTTTCCCACGATATTCCCCACAATAATGAAATGTTGATTAAATAGGATGGTAACCTCTGAAAACGGCATTATACACACATATACGCGCTGTATATATTACATATGTGTACATGATTGTACATGTACATACATATTATATGTGAGTAAACGAGGTGTTCTTGGATCGGCGGATGACATTATTGCATTTTTTCTGCATATTACGACAGTTTTGATTGATTTTGGGTAGATTAGATTCATTACTTTTCATTGGTTTTCCATTATATTGATGATGTTTTTCATTATTTTTTATTGTTTCTTTTAATTACATGGTAGAACCGAAAATTATAATGCCACCCTGGTGGAAAGACATGGATTAAACAAAAAAAAACAGGCGTACCGCGTGAGAAATCCAGGAGGCATTCTAACCTTATTTATTTTGTCCTGAAACCTCTTTAAAAAAATCCGGGACGGCATTCAGTGATTTTTCAGTAGTTTGAAGATGGTTTCATTATTTTTCAGTGATTTTACATTATTTTCAAGACGTTGTTCATTACTTCTCATGGACTTTTCATCATTTTCAAGATGTGCTTCGTTCTTTTTCATTGATTTTTCAATGTGTTTGCATGTTTTTCATTATTTTTCATTGATTGTTTAGTGTTTTTCTTCATGATTTTTTATTATGTGTTGGGTAGATTTTTGCAATTTACATGCATATTCTGCATATTTGCAGTACCATATACATGGAAGACACGGGGACGGTCGAAAATTCGTCAAACATTTTCGAGTTTTAGGGGTTTCAGGACTAAATAAATAGGATTTGAATGCCTTCAGGACTAAATGGGTTAGAATGCCTCCTGGATTTCTCACGCGGTACGCGGGTCTTTTCTTGAAATCCACATCTTTCCACCAAAGCGGCATTTTTTAAAATTATGTTTCATTGATTTTTCATTATGTTCATTGTTTTTTCATTATTTTCAAGATTTTTTTCATTATTTTTCATTGATCTTTCATTATTTTGAAGATGGTGTTCATTATGTTCATTTGTTTTTCATTATTTGACGATGTTTTTCATTGATTCTTTAACTATGTGTCATTGGTGTTTCATTATTTTGAAGATGTTGTTCATTCTTGTTCAATGATTTTTCATTATTTCCTAGATGTTTTTAATTATTTTTCATTGATTGTTCAATGTGTATACATGTTTTTCATCATGTTTCACTGATTTTTCAATGTTTTAAAGATGTTTTTCATTATTTTTCATTGTATTGTTGGGTAGAGTCTTGCAATTTACATGCATATTCTGCATATTTGTAGTACATGGAAGACACGGGACGGTCGAAAATTCGAAATTTTGGAGTTTTGGGGTCTTCAGGACTACATAAATAGGGTTAGAATGCCGTCCCGGATTTGTTTAGAGGTTTCAGGACTAAATAAATAGGGTTAGAATGCCTCCCGAATTTCTCACGCGGTACGCGGGTGTTTTTTTTGACGTCCACATCTTTCCACCAAAACGTCATTCTAACTTCCAGTCCGTCGGTATAATGTATAATATTTGATGATAAAGGCCAAATAATAATCATCCCAAAAATCATTCCACTAATAAGGCCATAATCATGCCCAAACCAGGTCAACCACAACTTTAATCCTCCCAATAAGCACAATCATCCCAAAATAATACCAATAATATCCTTTACCCCCCGCCGGTTCGCAGAACTTGGATTATAGTTGTACTATGCACTAAAAACATATATATATATATGGTGTGAAACCAGCATCCTGGCAGCAAGCGCAAGAAAACATGAATGAAAAATGCAACCTGTCGCAGCTCAACACGCTCTTTGCAGAAGGCAAAACGCATATACCATGGGCCCAAACTTGGGGCCACAAATTTGGAAGCTGGGCTACCAATTTTAGTATTGTGGCCCCATTTTTGGGTCCAGAATCTGGCCCCTGGTTTGGGGGCACAAAACACAAACAAAAACACAAACAGGAGCTACTCAATACGGGCAGCAAGTGTGCTACTGCCGCCGTAATCTGACAGCAGCACATATCGGTGATACTGCATATATATTTATATATACATACATATATTTATATATATATACATATATATATATATATATTTATATATACATACATATTTATTTATATATACATACATATTTATATATATATATATTTATATATATATATATATATAATTGATTATTATTACTATATCTTATTATCTCATCCATCTATGATTTCCCCCAAAACTACAGCCTCCAGACTCACCGTCGTCCTCCCCACCTGTTCGCAGAACTTGGAATCCTTCTGCGCCCCGTCGCGCACCAAATTCTTCACCGCCCTCAGGGAGTGCTCGTCCAACAGCCGGAGCACCGACTGGATGCCGCTCACCACGGGGGCGCTGTCGGGGAGCTCCATGCTGTGGACGTTCAACCTGAAACACTTTAAAAAAAACCGCGCTACCATTGTTCAAACGCAATCACTGGGGATTGGTTATGGGATATGAAACACGCAAAAGAACTGTGGGGATGTCATGCTAAAATTGTGGTTCAACCATTAAACATGCTGATTCAGTGAGATATGAATGGGATATACACTAGTGGAAACATCGAAAACATGTGGAAAACCAATGGTTTCCCCTAGGAACATGATCTGCAAATGGTGGGTAAACTAACATCCCTGATAGCTTACTAGAAGGCAACTGGGGAACAAACAAAAACACAAAGAATGAGAACTGGACAATTCATAGAACTAAATCCACAAGAACTCTGACGTAGTAAATAATGGGAACATGATAGAATATCATGAGCTATCATGATAATACCCTCTGGTGGTTACTTGTAGCTGGGAAATCTCCGAACTTAGTGCCAATTAGACATGAAACAACATATTCGAACTAAATGAGGATGCATCTATCTACATACAGTCTAAAGGAAGCGTATATAACAAGATCTAACAATGGTTTATCATGTTTCTCTATCTTTATTGATCATGGAGTGTCCAACATGGCTAGCCGGGAAACCCTGAAGTACATAAACTTTAAAGTGGGAACATCATCGAGCAAAATTATGTTGTTTTTCCGTATGCATCTATATATATATATATATAAACATACATTATATATATATATAGGTGTGTTCCTGGAATTTCCGTATATGTTTCTGTTGCCATCTTTGATTAGCAAAGGGTATACAACATAGAATCTAACCAAGAATGGTTTATCATGGCCTGCTGATTTTTTTGTGGATGATCTTGAATTTACCTACTGACATGGTACAGTATATACATGAACCACCAAGCATGGATATGGGTCTATCCAAAAAGTGAGCCAACCACACTAAAATCTAAACGTGCATAAATGTGTTATGATTCAATGTAGGCAAAATTATGATAAAGCACTGGATTGTTTGACCTCATTTTGATTTCACACACCCATGGGTCAAACATCCTAGTAAAGAAGTAGAGATTGCCAAAAAAACCCTGGTGATCATTCGTGAACACTGGGAACCACTGACTTAGTAAGTGATTTACAACCCACATATCCCACCACTGCGGCTAGAACATGATGAGCAAACCATTGTGGGTATATCATCCAATAATGGTTTAAAGGGGAAAAATCATAACGGGGAATAGAGAGACCCACCTGTCGATATGATATAATCCGTGACTGGGGATACAACATGATATAACCACATTACTCCAACTGGATGAACTCGTATAGCTACCCACTTCTCGTGGCCCATCCAGTTTCACCTTAAGGTGTCTACCTTCGAAAACTGATTCAAATATATTGGCTGATAGGATTTTTTAGCCCATTTCATTATTTATAAATCAACCATCAATAAATACCTTCAGTAAACTAACGCAGCTATAGAAAATCACTATATTTAATAGGTAAATCAACGAACTATAAATGGTCATGTTCCATGTTAAATTACCAAAGGGTAAATCTGCTCACGATAAGTGTTTTTTCAACCAGGGCTTTTTTTAGGCGCCTCTCATCGCGGTACATGCGCTGTTCGGCTTCAAGAACCTCCTCCACAAAGAACTGCTGCAACCCTTGGCACTGGAGATCTTTGAGGGGAAGCCAAGGGCTTAAATCTCATGTTTTTTTTGAGGACTTTTACTATTTTACCATCAAAAATTGGGATTTCTTGGGATTTCGTGGGGTGATAGTCAATGGATTGGTGTAAGGTAGAATCTACAGGAAATCCGTGGTTTTTACCAGTAATTATGGGGGTTCGTGTCCATTTCCATCCAATTCAATCACAACATTCAAGTTACTACGGTGCGAAGGTTAGTTCGATAACTTTACCACAAAAAAATGGCGATGATGATCCAGTTTCAAGGCTATCGGCCACATTTTCCAGAAAAAAATATTCCCATCATATCCCTATATCCCCATTGCATCACCATAGGTAACAAATTACCAGAGGAAATTTCATTAATAGCCCACTAATTAATTCTCAATCAAATATGTTTAATTTGGTTACAGTACATATCAAATACTCTGTTGTATATTAACGTAGACCCTACGAGCAGGTTTTGGGCAAATAAACATAGACCCCTGGGATGCTTTTTGAACATGTTTATTAGAAACGCTACCTCTTGCAAGCATGCAATCCCAAAAAATGAGGATCACGTAGACCCTGGGCATAGACTCCCTCCTGAGAAAGATCCTCAACCAAATCATTTCAATCTTTGGAGGTCTGATTAACCCCTTACGCCACATGTTCCAAATGTAAAGATGATGTTCCCATCATATATCCCTATGAAATATCCCCATGAAAAATGATCCCCACATCTTTATAATATTTTTTGTCTGCGCCCTCCATGCGGACAAATCTGCGACGCCATCTTTATATTCTTTATATTTCTTTATTATTATTATATATATATATCCCCCATATCTGCATTTAAAAAATAATCCCCATATCATATCCCAATGAAATATCCCAGGATGTTAGAATTAATAATCCATTCAAAAAATATATGTGTCAAGTAATTATTGTTAAGTGATGGTAATCAACATTTGGACTAAACGCATGTACCAATTATATACGATTTATAATCCATTCATCATCCATTCCCACAGTGATGGCCCAACTAACACTTATAAACGGAGTTATAACTCCTATAACTGCGGTTGTGTGCCATTAACTGATTAATAGGATACTCCCATAAAGTCAACTCCAAAAACTGAGGCTGCCATAAACTGAGGCTGCCATTGTTATAACTCCGTTTTCTGCCATGAGTCAACTCCCATAAAGGACACTGTTTAATTACTGGGCCATAGATGCTGCATCCCGCCACCAAGCGGCGCTCGTTGGCCAAGTTGATGCAGAGCTGTTCAAAGCTGTTGGACTCCAAACGTTCAAAGCCGTAGATGTCCAAGGTCCTCGTTACCCGACACGGCGGAACGTTCGAACGTTAAGGGAACAAACGGCCGTATAATAGGCACCAGGAAACCATAGGAAACCATAGAAAAACCACAGGAAATCATGGGAAAATACGTGGCAATTCAAGAACAATGGTCATTTCATGGGGATGTATCGCTGGTTTAGGATAGCTAAGTTGATGCACATGACTTGGTTAAAAATCGGGTTTATTTGGAATAATAACTATAGTCGCTATAGGCTATAGTCTATAGTTACTTAGTTAATGGCTTTATGAACTATAGTCAAATTGCTTTATGGGTCTAGTTAATGGGTTTAATGGGTTTAATTAGGGGTTCGGAAATTAACTGTGGCTAAATTGGCTTGTAAACTCTTAGAACTGGGGGTCCCGTTTCAATGCCAGAACATTTCAGAGATTTAGCATGATCTAGCCCAGAGACATTGGGATCAAAACCACACAATCAATGTACCCTCTGGTAAACAAACATAGCTATTGAAAATGGCCATAGTTGATTTACTATGATTTACCCGTTAAAAATGGTTATTTTCCACAGTTCTGTTAGTTTACCAGAGGGTAAATAGTTGGCCATTTTATTTACACTTTGAAATTTCGGATCCAATAAACATGGGAGGGGAATCAGCACTGGCCGTTGGATTCACAGCGGCCATGGCTTGAAGTCGGTGAAACAAGTGGAAAATCATGGCGATGTAAGCTATTGATGATTGCAGATGTTGATAATCTATGATACATTATAACATATCTGGTTGGTGGTTTTACCATCTCGAAAAATATTAGTCAATGGGAAGGATTATCCCATATGTTATGGAAAATAAAACATGTTCCAAACCACCAACCAGATACTATAACAATGTTGATGATAATCATGCTAGTTTGAAATGTTGATGATTATTGATAAGCATCCCAACTCTTTTCGGCTCATGCTAAGTGTAGAATATTAAAGATAGTCTATGAACTATATCTACGTAATATATATATAGCAACTAATCTACTATCATGTTGACAGTTCAACTCCTTTTTTGTTAATACACATATAGATACATATGAATGTGGATTAATTATATATATATGGTAACAACATGTATAGCATATTATAAGTGAATAAATGTTATATCTATCTTATCTATCTATCTATCTATCTATCTGTCTACCTATCTATCTATCTATCTTTCTATCTATCTATCTATCCATCTATCTATCTATCTACAGTATGTATCTACAGTATCTATCTACAGTATCTATCTACAGTATCTATCTACAGTATCTATCTACAGTATCTATCTACAGTATCTATCTACAGTATCTATCTACATTATTTATCTACAGTATCTATCTACAGTATCCATCTACAGTATCTATCTACAGTATCTATCTACAGTATCTATCTACAGCATCTATCTACAGTATCTATCTACAGTATCTATTTACAGTATCTATCTACAGTATGTATCTATATATCTATCTATCTATCTACCTATCCTATCCTATCCTATCCTATCCTATCCCATCCATCTATCTATCTATCTATCTATCTCTATCTATACCTATCTATATATATATATCCCTCTCGATATAACCCATGTGTGTAGATAACTCCCCGTTATACGCACATATAACAGCACACGTTGGAAGGTCTGGTTGCGCCGAATCCCATCCGATGCGCCGAAGATCCCAATGTTGTGATAGTTGCCCTCGCTCTGCCGGGCCGCTCCAGAATTGGAGACCTCAGAACTTCCAGTCACCAACAAGTGCCACTTTTTTTGGCAATATGCACCATCCAATTCAACTTCTTATCTCTGACCTCGGATTAGCCATTCCTAAACCCATCCCAAAAACGGGAAAGAAATCATATGCATATAAGACATAAGACTAGAAATCCCGAAATCCCTGGCCGTTGGTGAATCAAAGTCACCTCGTTGATGCTGGAAACGATCTTGTCAAAGAGCCGTTTGTAAAGGATTTTGATGATGCACTGCAGGGTCTGCCTCGCCTGAGCCAAGGTCCTGGCAAGATATTTCTGCTCCGACCAATCTCCATGATATAGTTTGATATAATATTGGCACATATTGGCCATGTAAGATATTAATTGATATCATAGAATTCAAACACTTATATATATAATAGCTAGCTTTTGATTTATCAACAACTTGTGCGAATTCAGATCAACAACAAGTGAAAAACATGTGTCTCAGAATAAGTCGGGCGTTTGAAGCCACCAGCCCAACCAGCAGCATATCCGACCTTTCACGTTACCACGCCGAATAATTACAGAACAATTCAGTCAAAAAGACGAAAGAAAAAAACAGATTCCGCGCCGTCTGAAACTACAACACAGCCAGGGAAAGCATTCAATTATTCGCATTGATTTGCAGTGCCTCTTACAGTTTATGTTCTCCAAATTGATTCGTTCATCATTGACAATTGGTCCATGCTGAAAAAACACCTTCCAGAAATCACCCAAACAAGAACCCCAAGAAACCCTTCTCCCTTTATCATTTGTTCCCAGGAAAAAAAAAAACAGATCATGTCTCCCCACCCGACCCATCCCCCCATTCTTCATTCCGCACCTGGGGCACTTGATGTGTGAGATCCTTCCCTGGCGATTTACGTGCATCTCCCTGAACTTCAGCACCTTTGCCACGGAGACCACATTCAAACCAAGCAGGTCGCAAGCCATGTCCAGGCAATCCTGAGTTCAACCGGACTCATCATCCCGGAAAGAAGTTTTTTTTCGCGCTGCATCAGTTATACAATGTTATATGGATCCCCATCTGCATAGCTTCATCCCGTAACCGCATCCATCCAGCATCTATCATTTCAAAATAGACTTCAAACTATAGCTGCATAGTGAGTTATATACATATATTAATAACATCATCTAACTCTATAGCCATGTCATCCCTTAACATCTCAGCATTTTCCCATGTCCACTGGAAATTTCTGGCCATGTTTTCTGGTGATATTCCCATACATATCCCTGAAACATTGGCCTAATATATGGTACCTCCAATAAATCTGGTCCTGAAATGGCTATTGTTTTTGTTAAGGAAGATGGAGATATCACAAAAAAATGGGTACATTAAACTATATACAACTCACCTATAGAATACCCTATAGAATCCTGTAGAAACCATTCGGTTTCACCATAAATTGTACTATCCTCTGGCTAACATAGCTTTGGAACATGACCACATTTATAGATGATTTATAGATGATTTACTGTATATCGATTTATGATGAAAAAAATCGCTATGAAAAACGTGTCCCGCCCCGAGATCTCCTCGGTCTTCTCATCGATCTCCACCTTGGCCGATTGCGTGGACAGCGCCTCGCCGGAGATCGCCTCCGAGGCGGCCGTGTTCGCCGCGGAGGAGGGCGTGGCGCTGCAGTGCGACGGCGACGGCTCGAGGTAGGGCTCACCCGTCTTCTCCGACTGGGGACATGGGACGGGGGATGGGACAAATATATATATATAAATAAATAAATATATAAATAAATATAAATAAATATAAATAAATAAATATATATATATTTAAGTAGCAAATATAGAATCTTGTTGAATAATTTAGTATCTATTTATTAATATCTAATATTCATCAAGATTATGAAATGCTGTAGACATCTAATTAAGGTACATGTTTATGGGATGCTCTAAGACCCTATATTAGTCTATATTTGCATTGTAAATAGGGGATCTAAAATTCACCAGCATGGGTGATTGGCTAGCCCAATGGTAGCCCAGTGGGTACCACTACTTCTAGCTGCGGGTGTTGCATGGTGGAAATTGAAATATGGAGGGGCGGTCAGACTCAAGCAACAAAAAACGGTGCATCATGCAGCCATAAACCATAGAATTAAGCCACTGAACTAAGGCAACTTAACGCTATCTTGGGGGCCCCATCCTGCGTTGCATGAAGTCCTACAATCCTACCGGATGCATCCCACAAAAACCAGCGACCAGCACCAGGTGATCGCTTAGGGGCTTCGTCGCTCGCTTCCAATTCCTGGAAATCCACCTGGTTTCGCTGGGAATCCAAGCAAATCCAATGAAAAGACCACCAGGTGACATGGTGACATGAAAAAAAGGTAGGTTTCCCAGAGGAAATGGAATTACTGTAACTTCCCGTGTTAACCTGGGACTACAGGTAGCCCCAAGAGACGGGCATGTTACATGTTGTCCTCTACCACTCTAGTGCTGGTGTGTGTTTTCTATTTTGTGGGGGGAGCTGGATGGAAAAAAAAAACGTCACCCAACACCATCTTAGGTGGAATTTGTATCTACTAGTTGAATCAAATGTATGTATAACAATATATATATGTATCATGGTATGTGTGTATATATATATGTATGTATGTATAAATGTAATTATAATTAACCATTTATATTTTGCACCATGAGATATCCCCATCTGTCTTAGTTGTGCTGAAAATCAATTTCATGTCAGCACATTTGGGTTTGTCTAAAAATGGAGCATCCCCAAATGCAGTGGTTCATCACCATGGCCTGCGCAAGCTAAGGGACCTACAACATGGTGGATTTTTTGGGCTACCCCATGTTTTTGGTGGACAAACTCATCCACAACTGGTTGGTGGTTCACATCCAGATTTTGGTTACACCCAAATTGGGGTGAAAATCAAACCACATCCAAGTAAGCTTGTATCTATCTATATATGCGGATATATTTACAAATATGTATATGTATACATATATATATATGTGTATACATTAACTTCCAGATGGACATAGTACACACACATATATATATAATGAGCCTCCAGTACTCGAACATAGCAAGGGAAAATCAACCATGTATATAGTTCGATGATGGTCTCATCAAACCTCCATTTTTCGGGGATTCGCAGCTATCCATGTTTGATTACCGCGTATAGTAACTTAGAAAAAAGAAGAGCTAGAAACTGAATGAATATGTCACTATCTACTTGGTGGTTCCAACCCCTCTGAAAAACATGTCAGTTGGGATGATTATTTCCAATATATGGCAGAAAATCCAAATGTTCCAAACCTACCACCCAAATATGTCACTATATGTCACTACTTGACCTGTTTTTCTTAAACAACCTTATTGGCTTATATATAACCACCATTAAAACCCAACCTTTTCGATCGAATGCCATGGTCATTTTGGGTGCCAGTTAAAAAGCCCGCCCGCCTCTCCCAGGTGAATCAGCGCAGCGAGCGTTTGCCAAATGTGATCCTGCGAAGGGATGATATCCTCCAGTTGGAAGATTAGTTTCCACTAAAAGAATTCGTTTGTTTTTTTTCTCCAGGGCCTGATGTCAATTTACTTGCCGGCATATATATATGTGTGTGTGTGTGTGATTGTGTGTGTATGTACATATATTTATCTATCTATCTATCTATCTAGCTATCTATCCATCCATCCATCCATGAATCCATCTATCTATCCATCTATATATCCATCTATCGATCTATCGATCTATCCATCTATCCATCTTTCGATCTATCCATCTATTCATCTATCCATCTATCGAACTATCGATCTGTCGATCTGTCGATCTGTCTATCTTTCTATCTATCCATCCATCCATCTAATCTATCTATCTATCTGAACTGTATAGAAACATGCTGAATGGATTAACTAAATACAAAGACGGAATCATCTGGAACATCAACCCAAGTAACTTGTCATCCCCCAAAATTTTATGACTGGATATTAAAGGCATTATGTAATTCATCCCCGTTTGAACAATGGGTTGATGGGGCTGTGCGATGAATGCAAAGAAACAAGATCATGGGAAGAAACATATTCATCCCCGAGATCTCAAAACGTAGCGAATCATTTCTTTCAATCCCCAACAGTATATCGGTATACGTGCTGTATGGGGAAAAACTAAAAATATGATAGTTCACATTCACATTCCAAGCAATCCAATGCTGTTCATACTCGGGCATGCGGACAAAGGGAGGGGCAGAGTTTCCGACTTTTGATCCTGGAGCATCCACAAGAATTCTCAAGATCTTGGGGGAGTAACGGAATAACCCTAGAAGTCTATCTGGACATCGTACTCTTCTTGTAATAATATATATATATACTTATTTCGTTATTTCATATCATAAACAAATACAGTAACTATCTTGATGCTCTCCAAGCAAGGAAATCAAGATAGCAAAACTCCCACCAGCACATCAACCAATTTCATATATGAATCCTACCACAAATCTGGGGGGCCAAGGAACTTACCATAACTTACCCAATACTTAGCTCATTTGTTCGCAGATCGAAAGCGTGTCGCCTGTGTTTCCTCATCCAGGAAGATCGAAAGCGCCTGCCGCAGCTCCTGAAACTGTTTAGCCAGGCGATTTGCATCGGCTGGCTGCGGTGAGGCACCGCTTGCGTGGAGCAACTTATAGCTGCGATCGCGTTCCAGCCACATGATATTCAGGGCCTGGGGGGCCGGGTGCAGCACCTCAAAGGATAGCAGCTATGAAAATCTATGGAATATATGGTGTGTGGGATATGGATGGATATGGGTCATAGACCGATCATGTTCCCCATAGCTTTCATGTCCACCGTCAAAGTCGGGTAAGGTGGTAGACAAAAAACTGTCCCCAATATTGCCATAAATTGGGTGTATAGAATAGTCTCGAACTGGGGACTTTGTTTTTGGGGTTTACGGGTTTACCACATGAGGTATTCCAGCGACCTCTTCCTCCATCCCGGCAAGGAGTTCGTAGAAGACATGGTAGTTCTTCTCACCTTTCTGCTGCGAAACCACCCTGGAACTCTCGAGCAAGAAAGTCTTGATGCCAGCGCCCACGAGTGAACCCACAGGGTTGAACATCATCCTGAGTCATTTCACGAGCCGTTTGACGAGCCGTCAGGAGACCCTGCACTGGATCAAAGAAAAAACACAACAAAACATGACAATGAGCAACATTACTCTAACCGTTCTATCCAACATGAATGAGTCATCATCTTGAAAACATACCTTGGCTAAGGAACCCCGCTTCGATTGTCACAAGCATCTACCCTAAAAAATTGAATCCCTAACACAAATCGACCCAGCCCAAAGATTTTAGATCTTCAACCAAGAATGGGGGGAATTGATGTTTTTTGTTAAACAACAAAACCAACATCTGCACAGATCCAGCATCTCATTGTACTTCCCAAATCTGGAGGAGTTCAGATTCATCACGGTGGTGGCGTTCCCAAAGGACTCCAAAATCGGATTTGCCATGATGATCTTGTCCTGAATACGTGATCCTTGTGCCGCATCAGTTCCTCAGTGGTGAACAAACTCCAACAGACAAAAGTATTTCGAATTCTGCTCCAGGGATGCATACATACACAGAGAGAGAGAGATATATCTATATATATAAATATATAATTATATATATATATATACATACACATGCGCATACATATGCGTGTATTGTTTTTGACTTGATCTATTTTCTTATCCTCTCGACTGATTGGATTTACCACTTTTTTGATTTCCCTGGCTCTCGCTGATGAAAAACTGAGGATTATTGGACAAACCCCTCGCCATGTGCGGTTCTTCATCAGAACTCCCTCAAGAAACCCTTGGTTTCTGACTTGCCCTGTTCAGTTTGGGGGTGTCTTATATTAGAGTATTATAGAGATGAAATTTAAACAAATCCATTTGGTAAGTTGTTGTACACATCGTTTAGTAATTCATATCAATCTCTCTCTCTCTCTCTCTTTGTTTTCTTTTTTTTATGTACTCGATAATCTCAATATTCCGATCTGTCTCGACTGGTTCACGAATCCAGGGCTCTAGACATGGAGGTCAGATAGCGCATGGTGATTTTCGCTGTCTCGGTCTTGCCAGCACCACTTTCGCCACTGATCACCAGAGCCTGGAACAACCAGCAGGAGGCCGTTTCCCTTGGATTTCATGGGATTTCAGCAGCCAATTTTATTGGATTTGACATGACTTAACCACCGTTTTCCGGCATGTCAAGAATCAACAAGAAAAACGTGGATTGAATGGATCAATGGATTTGATCATATTTGATCCAGTGGAACAGCGGAACATCACAGTGGAACAGTGGAACAGTTTCAATTGTCCGAGCGCAGGGATCACGGCCGCATGCGGGCCACATGTGGGGCTCCATAGTCTAGGTAGCCAGCAGCCATCTATCGATTGGTCTTAAAATCATGATAGAAGGGAAAGACATCTAATGGTTGGTTGAAAGTTAAGAGAATGTCGAAAATCTCATTTCCGACATGTTCACGCCATGAATTGGGGCAACAACGCCCTGACTCTCCCCCTTTCAGCTCCGTCCTGATTCTTGCGATCCCTCAGCATCTGTCGGTAGGCCACATCTGAAATGGCATAAGGATGTGGTGGCAAAGTGCCGGGGTTCTTGCCCCAATATTTGCTCATGACCTGCCGATCAAACGTCAACCTTGAAACGCCTTGGATTTTATTTACACCACCTGGTTGATACAAATGATACAATTCGGCAGTCCAGCAAACAGAGTTGACATTCCTTAACTTGTGAAAGGTCTAGGCCTATGTCTTGGAGGGAATACAGTAATGTTAAATTCATATTAACCACCCCCGAATGTCCAAATATGGGTTGGTCCCTCCCTATTGATCAACATGGGTGGTCATCCCCTGTTGACAAAAAAACAAGTTCCTTCTGAATTTCTGGAAAATCCTAATTTTGGGATTCAAAAACCAATGAAAAACCAATGGGTTCAAAGCATTTCTCATACTAAATCTCACGAATCCAATTTTTGGTTTTGCTGCCGATTATTTGGGGGTGAATAGCTTCTCATTGATCTAAACCTTCTGGGGTGGCTATTAATACGAACTTGGCATTATCGCTCAAGAAACCTCTATGTATACTACCTACCCATTGGTCTTTATGGTCTTTAGGGGCAACTGGGCACCTTGTCTCTCAATTTAGAAGGGAATTAATCATGGCCACTTGGTTCATAGTACTGCCTATTGGTACCGGCCACGAAACAGCCTACAATTTTCAACACAACCTGAAAACAATTTGGGCTTTGCGTTCCATGGATTCTGCCCAACAAACCCAATACAGATAAACCACTTAAACCACAGCTCTTTTCAAGCAAGTCAAGATGGCCCCCAATCAAGCCCTAATAGCATGTTACTTGAAGTCAGAACTGGTGACAACTTGACAACCAGTCTGAACACATATTCAAACTGCTAGATATACGTCTGTATCTCTCTGATATATAAACGTGCATGTATATGTATATATATATATATACACATATTATTGTATGCATGTAACTATATGTATGTGTAATTTATGTCAACATGTATTCAAATGTATGATATAACTACATATTGAATATTGATCTCAACAATCGCAAACATCGACCGCAGCTTTATGCCAAGGCCTCCTTGGAATAGAGGTGCGATAGACCTTTATATGGGTTCACCGCAAGAAGGACGTTGGCGGTGTATGTGTAGATCTCATCTTTCACATACCGCTTACCTTGGCCGTATCAAGCTAATTTTGAAGTGGGTGAAGGGGCGCCACAAAAAATGAAGGCATATATAATATTGAAGGCATGTATAATGTATAAAGTAAATTAAAGTACTATATACAATTCCCAATAGCAAATCATGTGCAAGACATATTAATAGAATTTAAATCAACTTAATACATGTTCTATGCACTGCACCAGTTTTAATTTTCGGCAGTACCTTTCAAAAAGTCACCGTGGAAACCCAAAAACCAAATGATGTGCAATGTGCCATGCCATTGAAAAATGGCAGTAGCTTGAGAAGCAAATGACTTTTCAGGCTGAGAGGATTGCGTGAACCTGGAAACACAAACCACAACGCAAAAACTCTGAAAATTATGTTCAAAGGTGCGGCAACAAGTAGACACACACACAAGACCAGAAAAAACACTTCCCATGTTTCATTTTGTTTGTATTCAGTTGTAGATTCTATTAAGGTGCTCAGACATATAACCTGCCAAAAAAATCAAAAAAACAATGATCTTTCAAGGACAAACTGTCCGCTCCGAGCGACGCAAGTTGTCCAAAATGTTCGCATCGTCCAAGTGAACCATCTCGGTATTGTCCTGGAAGGTCCTTCCAATCCGAAGTTGCAGCTTCGACGGTTGTCACAAAAACGAGTGGGCCATGGGGAAAAAACATGGATGAACATGAGGTAGTTTAAACCATGAGTTTGTTTTTTTTCGAGACAACATCCAGCATCCGGTTAGTTGAAACATGTTGAAACTATACGAAACTCATGTGGGTCAATTCGGATCATGTAATCACTGCTAAAGGTTGAGCAGAACAAATCATTGAAACCACAAAGCAGTACATGTGTTATCCAGAAACATCCATGATCAGTAAACACAACGCTTGTCATGGGCACATTTCTGGACTTGGAAGACCAGCCTACCCTCCGGTAATTGCCATGGGAGGCTGGCCGAAAGGAACCGAGTCCAGGACTTATATGAATGATCAACTATACACAAATGTCGCACACATATAAACAAATATACATATATATATACAATAATAATAGGAATAGAAAGGACAAGATGTACATTTATGGATGAATCCATAATTACATGTACTGTATATCTATATGTACAATAAGCCAGCCCGTAGATTCCATATCAATGTGTGTCTTTGCTTCAATCACCTTCAGCTTCAACATGGTTTGTCATGGAATTTAAAACTAATAGCGCAGGCTGCAGGCTAACACAACAATTCCAAAATCATCGATCCAATCTCGAGTGATTGCGTCCCGAATTTGAAGCCGATCGTCCAATGAATGGATTTAAGTGGATATGAATGCATAATGGGAAGTCCCTATTTGTGCAATAAATCACCCCAAAAACTCACTAATGACCACATAGTTTTCAAAAGTTAAATAGACATTAATGTATATTAAACTTACGTTAAACAAATAATATATGACATATACAAAATAATAACACTAAACTGGCAACAAAAGAAGCAACACTTTACCAAAAAAAAGGATAATAAAACAAATCCCCTACAATCATGAACCAGGGATAACCATAGCTGTTATCGTTCCAATTTGGTCCTATTTATAGATATTGTGAAGTCTGAATAAGTCTGATGATATATCTATAACACACCCGTTGCAGCAGTTGGAGATATGATCCCTGGTTCTCCCATCTGCTTCTTAGTAGAAACAAATCACCACAATATATATATATACACTGTATATCTAGATACTGGATAGTATGATCTCCTAGAATCATCAGCCACCAGGGATAACCATTTTTTGTACTATTCAATTGGCTTCTAATCCCCATTGACTATATCTATAGGTATTACGATATATCCACTATATATAAACATACATATATGAATATAATATCATTGAATATCATTATCATTATTAGATTAACTAGTAGCTAGGGATATGAAATGATTCATCTACATATATCTACTATAAACATCCATAAAAGAAAGACATACTGCTATTGGAGTTTTATAGTAGGCATATCTATTGGAGATATGGACTGGATAAATATGGACTGGATAATAAACTGTTAACTAGAGATATTATGATGACATCATTGTATCTATTGTATTCTATGATGATATCATGATATCCATTCCATTATGATATATCAAAGATATTCTATATGGATTACATATATAATATGCAATATTTTAAGATACAATAGGTTATGATATTACAGTATTCAATATTCCATTATGATATATCCATTATTGAACATATACTGTAGTATTCATAATGATAATGGTATTCGATATATGTATTGATATTGAATAATGGATATAACCATAATTATGAATATTATATTATGGATACAATATATTGAAGATACCGGTCCCCCGGTTCTCCTGGTCTCTCCCACGTCGTAGAAGGGTCGCAGCTCGCTTTTCCGCACCACGTGCACTGCACCGCCCTCCGGGTGGTCCACGCACAGCGAGTCGCGGCCGTCCTAAAGCCGAGACGAGGGGGGATGGCCTCTTCTGAAATTCAGTGTGTGCATATATATATAATATATGATTATAATATACATATATTATATGATTATAGTACACTATAATAATTTATAATATATTATAAGATATTATAATATATATTATATTATAATAATATATTATAATCATATAATCATGTTATAATGGGCTTTCATCAACAAAACTAGTCCAAAATATGCTTTAAAATGCAATCAACAATAAACAATAATTGATCAAGTAAAAAGGACAAAATCAATTACATTAAGCAAACCAAGTAATATGTTTTTTTTTTAATGCACCATGGATTTCAACAAAAGCCATACCCAGAGGCTAAATCCAACAGCAGACTATACCTGCAGCCTCATCCTGCACTGATTGATTGGGGCAGCTTTGGGGATTTTTTGAATGTGGCAGGCTGATGGTTTTGACCCATCCAAAACAATATCTGTCAATTTGGCATCATCATACCAGGCAGTCAAACAATATAGTTCAACTATAGATGTTGAACAACTTGACTTGTAAATTTGGCTGGTGTTATTGAACAACTTGACTATAATTCAAAAACACCAGCCAAACAACTGGATTTCCATGAAACCTTTAATTCAAGGGTGCTCCCCAAAGCACAGAAGAAACCAAGTAGCATCAACGCTGACAACTCTCGAGCGACGGTAACCTGGAATCAGCTGGAGGAGGGGGTCAATAGATCCAACCTGCACTAACAACATCAGAATCCATCCATTGAACCAGCAACTAAATGGTATACCTACTTTCTGAGGCAGAGAAACTACAAGGTGGGTCCCACCAGTTATACATGGCGCACGCTTTCAAAAAAAAAGAGTCCCACCAGGGCCAACCACCCAACCAGCCAACCACCACACCACGTTGCAAGTGAGGAACCCACATTGGCATCTGGAGACCAAACCCAGTCGTTCACCTGCGATCGCGACGAGTAGCTGAAAAGCCGGTTTCGGGTTGCGGCCACTCTACGTCCAGTGTATGGGGTTATTCATTAGTTAAAGTCATTGTGACATACGTACATCCTCCTATGACTATAATTTTAACTATCTTTAACTGATGGAATGATTCATAATTAGTTAGTTGTAGTCCCAGTGAATCATCGAAACAACTCAAGGAACAACTGAACAACCCCAAGATGTTCCAATTCGATCAACTTCCACGAGATGCACATCCCATTCAACGTCAAACATACAAGCGCCGCATTTGTTTCTAGTCTGTCATCCACAAAGAGTTCAAACTAAACATGAAGTAATCTAAGTCATGTATTATAAACATAGGAAGTGATAATTTGTTGTTCCCCACCTGCCAGGTGAGGGTTGTTAGATTTTATCACAGTTGTTCTTCTCCTCCTCCTCCTCCTCCTCGGCTAGCTATCCTCCTCCTCCTCCTCTTCCTCCTCCTCGTCCTCCTCCTCCTCCTTCTCCTCCGCCTGCTTCTCCTCGACCATGTCTGCATCAACTTCCACCTCAACTTCCGCCTTGCCAACTCTTGGCCAAGCTCTTTGCCAACTTCCCAGCTCAGTGTGCGCCACTGGACCTCAACCTGGGACCTTCCGAGCTCAGTGTGCACTGCTGGACCTCAACCTGGGACCTTCCCAGCTCAGTGTGCACTGCTGGACCTCAACGGCCAGATAGAATGCCAGAAGATATGCCAGATAGAAGAGATGCCAGATCGAATGCCAGAAGATATGCCAGATAGAATTCCAAATGGTATGCCAGATAAAGTGCCAGAATGTTTGCCAGATAGAATGCCAGATAGGATGTCAGAACATATGCCAGAAGATATGCCAGATAGAATGCCAGATCGAATGCCAGAAGATATGTCAGATAGAATGCCAGAAGATTTGCCAGTAACAAATCAATAAATGTCATGGTGGGGATCACACGAAGTAAAGTAATTTATCATTTAGAACTCGCCCCAAAGTAACCACTTTGTCGCCCCCAAGGCTCCCCTGTCGCCTCAAATCGGGATTGGCGTGGAGAGATGAGACTAGCTGCACTGGGACGTCCCTCCATGGATACGTTGCGGTCCCCCCGAAACCGTTGAGCGCCGTTGAGCAAAGCAGTTCGCTGCGGAGAGGAGCGCTTTTCACAACTGGAAACGATTGATAAGAAAACTCACATGGAAGGTGAGGGAGCAAGTGGTTCAACCTCAGCCAAATCACGTTTGCAAGAAAATGGCACACCTGATTTGGATGCTCATCCAAATGATAGCCTCATCATAACAAGTAGTGCTTCATATAAGCAATATACTTACATATCTTTTATATTTATATATATATATATATTTTATCAATAGGGTGATTACAACATGTTAAAAGCCAAGTGCATGTGATCCACTCACTCCAATGTCGATTCTCCGGCCTTGGTCAATCTCTCTTTCCAGCGTCGCAGCATGTAGCGCCCCACAAGGCCGGCGCCTCCCACCTGTGATGGCAGAATTCAGGCCGTCATAGAAAAGCAAGGCCAAGACCTATTTTTTGGAT